AAAGTATGATCAAATAGCATAGAAAAATAGACCTTTCTTTTCTCTATCAGACTGTATAGAAAAAAAGTTTCGCCGAGCTTTCTATAAGGAATTGATATACCTCCACCATTACTTTTGGAATGACCTAACTATTTATAAAAAGACAAATGAATTTTAAATAGACAGAGGGAATAATAGTACAAATACGGAAGGATTTTATTTTTCTACCTTTTTTTAACTTGAGATTTTCTCCATGTTACTCACTTAAGTGAAACTGATTGTAATAATATATAACAGGTCAGTGGTGTGTTCGTAGAGTTGGATTACCTTGTCGGTCAGATTCAAACGGATCAAAAGAAACAAAACCATAACAAAGTCGATGAAGCACTTCCGTTTAGTACTTTCCATATGAGTGCTACTCAAGAACAATCAACTACTGATATGAATGGTCAATTTGTTCACTCACAATTACTGATCGATTGTTTGCTCCGAATGAAATCAACGCCATCAATAAAGAACGAACTAATTGATATCTGCAAAGAAGAATATAAAGGAAACAAAGCTGAACTAGAAGTTCTTCGCGAGTTTAAACAGAATTATTCGTCTGATCATGCTGTATGGTGGTATACGAAAGATTCGTTTGTTTACAGATTATTGAACAAAGCACTACGAGTACAAAATATTGATCTACTTTTCCTTTTTCGATTCTTGATTCGTGACCTTCACCAGCAACTTGAAGAAAATCAATGTACATCTCGCGTTTGTGTTTATCGATGTCAGTTGATGTCAAATGATGAATTAAAAGTATTGAAAGATTCCATTGGACAACTAGTATCTATTAATTCCTTTCTTTCCACGAGTATTCATAAACAGCACGCACTTCAATTTCTTGGCAGATTCTCTAATTCAGATAGTGTCGAACAAGTTTTATTCAAAATTAAAGCTGATTATGGTTTGTCAGGTGTCAAACCATTTGCTAATATCCGTTCGCTTAGTTATTTTCCTGAAGAAGAAGAAGTACTCTTTATGTTGGGCTCAATTTTTCGACTAGTTGATATTAGTCAAGACAACAATCTGATTCGGACAATTGAATTAAAACTATGCAGTGACAATGATAACGATTTGAAATCAGTTATTGATCAAATGAAGAAAGAGGAGAAAGAAATTGGTCCAGAGACAAGTCTACTTTCATTCGGTAATATACTACTAAACATGAATTAATATAATAGTGCTGAGAAGTATTTTCTACGTTTTCTCAACGAACAGACGAAGGATTATTCAGCGATTGCCCGCTGTTACTATTCACTCGGTAATCTGGCTACAAATACATACAACTTGGATTCTAGTCTAACCTGGCACCATAAATCTCTTGAAATCAAGCGAAAAAATTTGAAATCCGATGATCCTGAATTAGCCGAAAGCTATACTAGCATTGGTATAATTTATCGAAAAAAACGTGAGTTTACAGAAGCACTAAAATGGTTCGAAAAGGCATTACAAATTATCCATCGAGTTTATGGTGTTGAACATCCGGAAGTATCTAAATGTTTGAATAGTATCGGATATGTGTTCTTGCGCATGAAGAGCTATTCAGATGCAAAGGACCATTTTCAAAAAGCGCTAGCCATTAATAAGAAGTATTTCACCGCATATCATCCAGAGACAGGTGTATCACACAGTTCGATGGCTGATGCACAACGAGGTCTTAAAAATTACGAAGAAGCGTTGAAACATGCTGATCTTGCTCTAGAAATTTTCCAGAAATCGTTACCTCAAAAACATTATAAAACTGCATGGGTTATTGAAATTATGGGTAATGTTTATGAAGCTAGGAAAGAATTAAATAAAGCGTTGGATTATTATAAGAAAGCTGCTAGTATCTATTGTGAAGTATTAGATTCTAAGCATTATTATGTTACTTCAATTACAGAGTGCATCAAGCGAGTTTCATCACAAATAAAATGAATCAAGCTTTTTGTGAATTGTAACTTTTCACGACCACATCTGAAGCCATACTTTAAAAAGACACCATTTACAAATGAACTGTGCTTCTTATAGCTTCACTGAAAATAAATTTTTAATATGAAAAGAAATATTTTTGGCTTTTGATCATTTGCATTACATAAAGAAAAGTATTCCCTAAGTATTGTTCATTGTTACACTTTTCTCTATGAAAGGGGTGTGGGTGTGGATGTGAGTGAGGCGTGATTGTGAGGGTTGATCCGCTTTTTTCACCCACACTCACGCGCACGCACACCCACACTTACTCTGTTGAAAATGATTTTACATTTTAGAAAAACAAATTTCATTTGAATATTTCATCGATTATTATTTGTCAATAATAACTGTCGACATAGATTTTTTCATCTAAATATATTTCATTGTTTTTCTTTCAAATCTTTTCAAAAAAAGAAAAAAAACCAGATTGAATCATCAAATGTCGTTTTGAAGAATGATGATTTTATTATTCGATTGAAAAGAGAAAACATCTTTATTCTTCCATGATATATAATTTCTGAAGAAAGACAATTTAATGTCGTGATAATGAATGATTTGTATCATCTATGAATAATATCGATTAATCATTGATAAAATTATTTTCTCCGTTCGATATGTCCATATCTTTTTGTTGTTTTCTGAAACTTCTTTATTCCATTTGTGAAATATTTTGTTGAAGAAAATGAATCATTTCTGATAGTTTTTTCTCATTACATATAAAGAAATTTTGTTTTGTGAACATGATTATCGAAGATAACTGTGAACAACATAACTTTGTTATAGATCAATTCAATATTTATTTTTCGATACAACGTCACAAATATTTGTTTATTTTATTTATGATGGAAATGTAAAAAATGAAGAGATGAAATCTATTTTGATCAACATTCGATAGTTTCAAGAGAATCAAAATGACAAGATTGACAAGATTTTATATATCTAAGATATGAATAATTCTTCATAGTTTCCAATAAATGATGATCATCATTTATTGGAAATGTCTCTCCATTTATTCTCTATAAGCAAATTTTCGATAAATTCTAGAATAACACAATTGAAGTTAACTTGACAAAAACTAATTATTCATAATGAATATTAACACGAAGATAATCCAGAACACAGAGTATATCTTCAGAAAAAAATAATAAACATCTCGCATAATAGAACAACTCCAGCGAACGTCCGATACTTTTCATATTGCAGAAAGAAAGGTAAGAGTAGAAAAGTTATTGTTATCAACAAAGAATTGCTATTGGAAATGTTGTTTATTATAAAAGATCAAGGACTTTTTTTTGGAAATAAATGTGCTTGAAGATGAACATTAGTGAAAGTTTGACAAGTCAGCGTATCAGAGAAAATAAATAAGAATGAAATTGATCTATTAGATATGATGATCTAGATAAGAATGACAATTCATTATAAATACCTCATATGAACAGATTCATCAAGTATATTCCTTATTTCTTTTATGAAAAAATATTAATCATAATTGTTATTTGTTATTCATTTTCAATGTTGCAAATTCGATTTTTAACTCTTTTAATTTTCCGTGTTGATGTCACATCAAACTCATTTATCGTGTTGAATGATTTTCACTTACGTTTCTCATAAATTGATCTAGTCCTTTGGATGAGTTTCACTTTCATTGATCAGATAACTGTTCATCCAGACTTTTTTCTTTAGAAGATGATAATAAATATTTGATATTTAGTCAAAATCATTACAAAATCTTTTCTTTAGAATATGAATTTGACAAATTCTTTTTCGTTTTCTCTAGAGAATTATTTTTCTTACTTTGATTAAATGTTCAAAGAGTTGTAATAGGCCCGAAATATTTACACTAATTTGGTCTGGTTGGTTCAAAAGAACGTTTCAGATCGGTAAAAACAGGTAAACACTGATCAGTTTGCTAAGTCATTTACTGCCAGTTAAGAAGCTTTTAATAATTTGCCAGAGGAAAACTGATGTGACAGCCGTTCACATCTGTAAGTGTTTTAAAGATGAATATAAAATGTTTCTCTCGTAAAAAAAAGCTATGTACATAACACTATCTTGATGACATAGTGAAGGTGAGAGTGTAGATCGGAATGATTCTTATTATATTCACATACTCACCACACCCTTCAACAAAAGAATTTTTATCTCTAGAAATCTAAGTCAAAATCAATCAGCTTAATTACATAGTTATCAATCAATTTCTCTGATTCAATTCGAGTCTTCAATACTTGAGGCATAGATTTCGATGTATTTTTTGTACACATTGAACAGAAAATGTTGAATATTGGTTTATAGTTTTTAATAATATAAATCGCATGACCGATACAAGATATTATTTACATGTGTCACTTGTCAAATGTTTCATTGAAAAACATAAAGCAACAAGTAGTTTGAGATGAGATTGATAAATATCTTTGTTGAATAGTCATAGTTGTATTAGTATTTATATTAAATGTCAATCGAAATGTTTGACTTTGTTGAATCGAAACAGAATTTGTTTCATCGATTAATTGACAGATAAATGTCAATATATGAATATTAGGCGTAAAAGATGAAAATTTTATTAATTATTCAATGATTCCGATCTTTTTTGATTTTTTCAGTAAACTTATAGTTTATTTTCGTTAGAATATTCGCTGTTGATAATCTTCTTTGCTCATGTGATTTTTTTTCAGTTTTCTTTTAATATTTGAACGAGAGAGCCAATATAAAAATCGTTTAGAAATGCACTCAGTCAGACAAATAACAACAGAAACCTCGTAAAAACATATCGAAGCTTTAAGAAAATAAAATCTATACTTTTGATTATTTTGATTTTTAAATTTTTTTTTAAATTTTTTATAGTAAATAATACCTTAGAGGAGGAAGCGAAAATTCCATACCTTTATATAACTTGAATGCTAGTCTATATGACTGAATAACTCTTTCAATTTTCAATCATCGAACGGAAATCACCTATCACCTATGCTTTATTTTGTATAAACGGCATAATTGTTCTTTTACTAGCAGAAAATATAAAACGAATCGAAAAATAAGATGATTTATAGAATAATTATTAATGTGTAGCTTTATTATGCTCACTGCTAATATATGTCAATCTTTTATATAATCATGGAATTCATTTCTGTTAATTATGCTTTTTTTTATTGTAAACCAATATTAAAACTAATTTTATCGAACAGGGTGTGGGGTGTGGGTGTGACTAAAGAGAAGAATAACATCCACACCCCACACCCTGGTTGGATATAATTCATCAAGTTGCATAAGAAAAAACCGCTTTGAAATTAACAAAGGGTGTGGATGTGGATATGGATGTTATCTCTTCATCTACATTCAGATCAGAGGTAGGAGTCACCCACGCACCACACACATCCCACCCGATATTCCTTTGAATTCATTTTGCTACTTGATTCTACAGTTCTCAAATGATGTTCGAGATATGACATCTACTCTCAGAAGCTTGTATAAATTCAATCTAAAAGTGATTCAGAAACTTGTTTTAATAACTCTCTTGATTGTTTTAATTAACAAAAAGCATTTGTATGGCCTTTTTTATTTAATTTGTTTCAATTGAAACCGAAATGAATAGACGTTCTCTTTCTTCCATGTAATGAAAAATAGCAAGAAATAGAACAGGCAAAAAAATGTTATTTGTACATAAATTTGAAATGAGTTTCTATTTCTTAATTTATTTTTGTCTTTCCAGGGCAACGATCACCAATAAGTTTCTATATGACGAAATGTATATTAAATCAAGTAATACTATTTTCTTCGTCGTAATTTATTCACGAATAATCTATAATATATATTCACATGTGAAAGAAACCTATTAAAATAAAATAATTAAAAAAAGGGTGTGGGTGTGGGTGTGAATAAACAGGGAAATAACACCCAAACCCTATCACTATATGCTGATGATTGATCTTATGGTCAAAATGAAACATCTCGAAAAAGGGCTACTTCTCACTACATTAACAAAAAACAAAGTTTGAAAAAGTTTCTTATTTTGTGTCTATTTCAGCGTGTATAATACATAAAAGCTTGATTTTCTTTTTGATGTCACATCGTCGAAGGTTCTACAAAATCTACATAAGGAAATCGCTATTAATTCTCTCATAATGGGAAAAGTTGACTTCAATTATGTACGACAAGTTATTGATGTATTTCTTCGCAGAATTTATTCGATTGAAACACATAATGATCAACTGATTATCGATCAACATTCTTGATAGTTATGTGATTTCATTGTAGCTTTCACACATTCTCTGATCTTGTTATGGGCTTTTGTTTTGAAATAAATAGTCAATTTCTAAAGCATTTGTAACATTTCTGTCATATTCGGTGTAGCGAGAAAGAGTAACATTGCGTAAATCATCATTTTTAACTAGTTAAAAGAATCTATAAGAGAGAATCGGTAGCGATTTCTTTATGTAGATTTTGTAAAGCCTTCGACGATGTGACATCAAAAAGAAAATCAAGCTTTTATGTACTTATTATACACGCTGAAATAGACACAAAATAAAAAACTTTTTTAAGCTTTTTTTCTGTCAATATGGTGTGAAGTGGCCCTTTTTTGAGATGCTTCATTTTGACCATAAGAAAAATCATCAGCATATAGTGATAGGGTTTGGTCCGAGCATTATTTGTAAAACTTTCCACAGCGCATCTTTTAAAAAAAATCAAGATGATACCATTGAGTCTTGGATAAAATATATGCCAAACAAAAAGTGTGCAAACATTTTGGGACACCCGGTATATTTACATCCTGTCTAACTGAACATAATTCTTATAATACGGTAGTAAAACAATAATAATTCTATTATGAATTCTGTTCATTCTAACAGAATTGTTTCAGAATTCTGATCTACTAGCGGTATTGTCGTTCATTACGTGTACTTATTCTCGTAATTAAATCAAAATATCAGAAATCTATCAAAAAACCTTGCTTTTCCATCAGAATTCATCTAAAA